AAGAGAGAAACTCTGTCTCAAAAAAAAAAAAAAAAAAAAAATACTTGCAACACTTTAGCTCCTCAAAGTATCAACAGGAAGTAGCTACAAAATTAATATAGTGGTACAGTAGGAACTACAATGAATTTTATGCAGTTATTTAATACTTTGTGTGTGTTTACATTTCTCTTGACTGTGAGCAGTACCATATATGGCCTATAAGTGTTTGTGTAAATGTTGATAATTTTTTTTTCGAGTCAGGGTCTATCTAGCCCTGTCGCTTAGGCTAGAGTGTACTGGCACGATCTCAGTTCACTGTCTTTACCTCCCAGGCTCAAACGATCCTCCTACCTCAGTGCCCCAAGTGGCTGGGACTATCGGTGCTCACCACCATGCCCAGTTAATTTTTTTTGTATTTTTTGTATTTTTTTGTAGAGATGGGATTTTACCATGTTGCCCAGGCTGGTCTCGAACTCCTGAGCTCTAGACATCTGCCCACCTTGGCCTCCCAAAGTTCTGGAATTATAGATGTGAGCTACTGTACCCAGCCGATTTTGATAAATTTTAACTTTTTATAATTTATATTTATTTTATAGTACTAAATGATAAAATAATTATCTACATATATTTTTTATATTCATGACATACCTTTTTCCTTTTTTTTATATATATATTTCTAGGTTATATGGTATGCCTACAAGTTTTTTCAAATTGTCACAAATCTCCAAAACATTTTCTAGTATACTTATGAAAAAAAATCTACATGTAAGTGGATTTGTGCATTTCAAACCTGTGAAGTTCATCCTATGAAGGGTCAACTGTAATTGTTTTTCTTTTTATTGTCTTCAAGAAGTATGGTACCTATTATAACTCAGTTTGTGTAGGCCATAGGTGCTCATCTCAGAAAAAAATATGTTACAATTTTCTTTTTGTATAATGTTGGGAACTTAAATATTAATACTTTTGGTAGTTGATCACAATCTTCTTAGGTTATTGCTATATTCCTTAGGTGCTGTGAAGTCTCATTTTGAGTGTGGAATGACGGACGGTGTTCATCCTGAGGCAGCTGTGAGAGTTGTCCAGTCCATGGCTCGTTTCATGGCTGCCTATTTCACCAATCAGCAGCTTTGCATTTTGCCACCTCACCATGTGAATGTTCTTCCTCCACTTCATATTAAAACAGGTAATACAGTAAACAAATCCTTTCTAAACTGTTTTTGCATTGCACATAATATTTAAAATCATACTATACGGAGGCCATTAGGAAATGATTCTGTTCTAGCATAGTACCTGAAACATAGGAGCTATTTGTGAATGAACAGAATCTGAGAAAAATAATGGCTTAGATCTATTTTTATTGAATATGGATTTTTAAAAATCACAAAATGGACAAGTTGATCTTTATAAAGTTTGCATTTTTAAATTTTAATTAATTTTCTAGGGATGGGATCTTGCTATGTTACTCAAGCTGGTTTTGAACTCCTTGCCTCAAACGATCTTTTTTTTTTTTTTTGAGACAGAGTTTCGCTCTAGTTGTACAGGCTGGAGTGCAATGGCGTGATCTTGGCTCACTACAACCTCCACCTCCTGGGTTCCAGTGATTCTCTTGCCTCAACCGCCCAGGTAGCTGGGATTATAGGCATGTGCCACCATGCCTGGCTAATTTTTTGTGTTTAGTAGAGATGAGGTTTCACCATGTTAGGCTGGTCTCGAACTCCTGACCTCAGGTGATCCACCCATCTTGACCTTCCTGCTGGGATTACAGGTGTGCACCACCACGTCCGGCCAAATGATCTTAACTGCCTCAACCTCCCAAGCTGCAGGGAATATAGGTGTACACCCCTATGCCCAGCTACAGTTTCAATTTTTAAAGCGAAAGAGCTGCCACCTTCATTTATGTCAAAATGTAGAAATTTAACAAATATTGAGCTTGCTAATTTAGTATTTAATTTTATTTGGATGATTTATGATTTTATTTGGACCATTTACTTTTTAAATTTAATAATTTCATTAGTATGGTCAAATGCATCTAATCCTATGCTAGATAACTGCCCTGCTCTCATGGATATAAACATGTACACAAATTTCTATGATATTCATTTATTCTATTTTTTATTAAGTGCCTGCTTGCTATGTGCTACACAGTATTCTTGGTGCTGCAGATATATTAGCTTGCGCCACATGAAATTGATAATACAAAAACATTTGTAGTTTCTTCTTTTTAATATATGAAACAGATTCATCCTAATTGCCATGAACAAAATGATAAAGTACTTTTATGGGGTTTACATCTAATATGTTGAAACAGAAAATTAAATATATAAACAAGATATATCAAATGGTGATAATTGTTATGGAGAGAATTAAAATAGAGCAACGCAATTTTAGACTGGGAATTTTCAGAAGGAGCTCTCTGAGGAGGTGAAAGTTAAGCTGAACTCTTAATAACAAGGAAGAGTTAGATATATCAAGGCACATAGCATTCTAACCTGAGCTTGTATAAAAGCCCCAGGGCAAGAACAACTTGATGTGTTTGAGAAACTGAAAGATCTGTGTGGCTGTATGCTAAAGGGGGAAGACTAGAGGATTTGGTGGCTCATGCCTGTAATCCCAGCACTTTGGGAGGCCGGGTGGATCGCTTGAGTTGAGGAGTTTGCGACGAGCCTGGACAACATTGTGAAACTTTGTCTCTACAAAAAATACAAAAATTAGCCCAGCATGGTGGCATGTACCTGAGATTCTCAGTTAGTTGGAAGGCTGAGGCAGGAGGATTGCTTGAGCCCAGGTGACAGAGATTGTAGTGAGTGTACTCCAGCTTGGGTGACAGAGCAAGACTCTTGTCTTAAAAAAACAAACAAACAAAAAAGAAAATTAGAGGAAGAAGGGGAGAGTGGTATGAGTTGCATTCAGTTAATGGGCCAGATGATGTAAGCCGTGTTAAGCAATCTGATTTTTAAGTATTATGGGAAGCTGTTGGAGGGCTTAAAGCAAGAGTAGACATGAACTGATATGTATGTATAAGGCACACCTAGGTTAGAGTAGTAAAAGTTAAAATATAATTAGACGCTTAAAAAAGATGGCAACAAGTGGTCAGCAAATATAATCAGTCATAGAACCATGGATTTTGAATTACGTGTTCAAACTCATGTTCTGTGAATGTCTCAGGATACATATACATTTCATGTTTATTTTTCTAAACAGAATTTTTTTAAGCAGAAATCAGTATTAGGGATTTGAGTTGCTTATTTGGTGTGATATTTTAAAAAGTGGTGGACTTTTTTACTGTGTGAAAGTAGTAAAATTTTCAGAAAATTAAATTATTGAAGTTATTTTAATTGTATAGTACCTTGCTCATAGTGAATAAAAATAGGAAAAATATAGCCAGTCTCCTGGCTCCTTTGCTTATGCAGAATCGTACATCCAAGTGGTTGAAAACTTTTTTGTTTTCCAGATGTGTTTGTCAGAGAGCAAAAATGTTAATTCTTGTTGTAGGCATAGCCTGTGTAAGTCATGTGAGAAACTAACCATTTCAAGGAACAGAGAAGCTCATGATTGGTATTTACCACTTTTTGAGAGAATGAGTAAAAATTTTGAGAGAATGAGTAAAAATCCCATCAACGTGTTTTTTAATAACATTTCTTTTATTCTATTTTCAAGTTGCTTTATCAAGTTACTTCAATTAGGGAAAGGGACAGAAGGCCAGAGGGAATGATATTACCCTTTTGTATTAAATCCCAGGCCAGATGGTAATCTTATTTGTCAGGATTACGGAAAATCACATTTTTCTACTTTCTAATTGACACTAATGTTGAACACTTAATATGCCTGTTACCTCAAATTAGTCTTTGATTGCGTAACACTGTGGGTCACACAAAATCTGATAAAATGTAATTTCTGTCTTCTACATTTCATAATCTAGTATGAGAAATAAACATGTATTTCTGAGCATCCCACAGTAACAAATTCCACGTTGTGACCCATGTTGTGGTAATAAATTGTACATTGTGAACAAATAGTCTAGTAGATATAAATGTTTTTTGTATGTGTTTACATATTATCTGACACAAAAGTTTCATTAAACAATATTTAACTTTATTTGTGTCTAATACTTTCTATTCCATTCTCTGTTTTTTCTTTCTTCTGTTTCGTTTTAAAAATAATGCTGGTATTTGTTTCATGACCCACGAATGAGGCATATTCTTCAGTGTTAAAAGTGTTCTAGGGCATGTTGAGTATTACTTTAACCCATTTTATGCATATCTTCCTGGTGGAGTTTAGTAGATAATACTGATTGAAGAGATAAATTTACCTTTGTAAGGAAGCGTGAGTTTGGATGTGATTGTAATAATCAATTTTTAAAAATTTACTCACAGAGCAGTCCTTTCGACTTATTCCTCTGCAACACTGTAAGGTGGCCAGTGTTGTTAGAGATCAGAAGCTCTCTAATGTGTGGACAGTTGACTATGCACTTGAATTACTATTTATTGGTGGCCTGGTTCCAGAGGCTGTGTGGTTGACACATAAACTTGGAGACTGGAAGACATCTGTTTCAATTGGTGTGGCTTTCCAGCTGTTCTGTAAACATGATAGCAATTTTATGAGGTATGGATTTTTAGGCAATTTTAAGATACAGTATAATTGAACTATGTAAAGTATTTTATATTTCTCTTATTGCTGGTATTTACATATTGTGTGGAATCGTTTTCAGCATTGTCCAATGGAAACTTTCTTCAGTAATAGAAATGTGTTGTCCACTATAGTAGCCACTAACCACAAGTAACTATTGAAAAGCAGCTTGTGAGACCAAAGAATTAAATTTTCAATTTAATTTTAGTTAATTTAAATTTAAATAGCCACATATAGTTGGTGATTACTGTATTGAACTGCTCAGTGGCTTACTTATTTGTGTTAAAACATGTATTAATACTCAGGTGTGATGACTCATGCCTGAGGTCCCAACTACTTGGGAGGCTCAGGTGGAAAGATCACTTGATCTCGGGAGGTCAAGGCTACAGTGAGCCATGACCCTGTCATTACACTTCAGCCTGGGCAACAGAGTGAGACCCTGTCTTAAAACAAACAAAAACCATTTATTGAGCACACTTACGTGTTAGTGAAGCCCATATTTAGGGTAGCAATTAGAAATAAGAATGGGGGAGTGTTTTAGAATCATAATCGTGGAGGGTCTTATCATAATATTTCCTTGAATATTTCTTTTTTACATGTATGATAGATAAAAAGTAAATCCCATTGTTTCTTAAACTCTAATGTTTAGTCCTTGATGTCTGAAATCTTTTTTTTTTTTTTCAAAATTTGGATTCATTTCCCTTAACGTGATGTCATTTCAGGTCCAAGAAAAAGAGTCAGAATCTACCACTAAATATGACTCCAGCACAGATTTTTCAGGAAAAGCTGCAGTGTTTTTTAGGTCAACCAGCCTCTTTAGAAACAAAAAATGAAATGGGCTCAAAATATAAACAGTTTACAGGTATGTTACTTATGTATGGTCTGACTCATGTCAGATTAATGTAAACCTTATAATACCTTAAAAAGCTTATAAATGTCTACAAATGTATTAACACTTTGAAATAAGCTTATCAAGAATGAAAGTGTGATACTTATTTTTATTTTATTTTATTATTATTATTTTTTGAGATGGAGTCTCACTCTGCCACTGAGGCTGGAGTGCAGTGGTGTGGTCCTGGCTCACTATAACCTCTTCTTTTCAGGTTCAAGCAATTCTCCTGCCTCACCCTCCCGAGTACCTGGGATTACAGGCGTGGGCCACTAGAGCTGGCTAATTTTTGTATTTTTAGTAGAGACAGGTTTCCACCATGTTGGCCAGGCTGGTCTTGAACTCCTGGCCTCAGGTGATCTGCCCACCTTGGCTTCCCAAAGTGCAGGGATTACAGGTGTGAGCCACCACGCCTTGCCCAAAAATGAAAGTATGATATTTATACTTAACCATGGGAACACCCAAAATTGATGCCAGCTCAAAATATGAGAGTTGATAACTGAATGATTTTCTGATTTTCCTTACATATCTTTTTTTTTTTTTTTTTTTTTTTTTTTTTTTTTTTTTTTTTTTTTTTTTTTTTTTTTTTTTTTTTTTTTTTTTTTTTTTTTTTTTTTTTTTTTTTATATTAAAGTAGCTTTCTTGGTGCCACAGTGTTACAGCTCTGTGACTTCTCCTGTAGAGCAGGACCACCCCAGAGACTATGTTGAAAGTAAACTTCTTGCATACATTTACACTAATTATATTTCACTTCATTTGTATCATTTTCTTTTGCATCTGTAGAATCTCAGACCTGGAAGGGTACTTAGGAGTGATTCATTTCAACTGTCACCTAGTGCATCAATTATAGAGTTTTTTATTTGAAATGTTCAAAATGGTATTGAACAATAAAAATGATAAAATATTACACTTATTAGGTTTACACAGGAATCGTATAAAATTTATCTGTTTTACAGTTGGAGAAATTTAGATAAAAAGTAATGAAATCAGTCATTTAATGTCGTATATTTAATGGTAAAACCAGGATAACTATGAGGCCCCTCTGATTTTATTGGTGCATTGCTCCAGTAAGGAGTGAGGCTTCCAACTCTAGATTTCTAAAACTTATAATGTTTCTGTTTTGAGAGAACCTATAATACTTGGAAATCGGACTATAAACTTTTCTTTGATAATTTTCTATGCAGTTCTTTTGTTTTAATTAATGAAAAGATATTACTATGTGAAAGTTGGATTTTAAAGAAGTGACTAAAAAAATCCCCAGTCTGAACTTTGAGTTTTGGCAATATGTTGTTTTAGATGACCTGAAAACTCCCACAATAAATGCATAGGTAGAATGTGTTTCTAGATAAAATATAAAAAATATCCATTTAAAGGCCAAGCTTTAAAGAGTGTAAGGGGAATTGCCAGAGGTCAGAAACAACAAGCAAATAAAAACTCAAAGGGTTGAGAGGATGATACAAGATGGCCGAACAGGAACAGTTCTGGATTGTAGTTCCCAGCGAAAACACAGAGGGTGGAGGGTAAGTGATCACTGCATTTCCAAACGAATTTTTACTGCCCAAAGACCAGGAGATTCCTGGACGAAAAAGCACCACGAGTCTCTGGCGCAGCTGTTTCAGCCAGCGCAGCTGTTTTAGCCGACGCAGCTGTTTGAGCTGGCGCGGCAGGTCTCCGCACAAAAACTCACACAAATCCAGGCGCTGGTTCAACTGGTGACTGGAACACCTGGGAGACAGTCACCCATTCAACTGGAAAAAAAGGGGTTGAAACAGGGAGCCAGGTGATCTGGCTTAGCTGGTCTCACCCCCACAAAGACCAGCAATCTGAAACATATTTTGTTTCAGATTGAGCGTTTCACAGCGAGCACAGCTGGAACCGGGACAGTCCAGCTCTGTGGAGGGAAGGGTGTCCGCCACTTCCGAGGCAGTCCACCACTACAGAGACAGTCCGCCATTACTGAGGCAGTTCTAAGTACACCCCTATAAAGAAAACTGCAAGGAAGTTCACACAGCAGCTGGGCAAAGCCCACAGCAGCTCAGCAACACCTCTGCTGGCAGACTGTGACTAGGCTACCTCCTTGCTGGGCATGGCATCAGTGAAAAAAGGCAGAAGCACAAAAGGAACTTATAAATAAAGCCCCACCTTCCTGGGACAGAGCACCTGGGAAAAAAAGGTGATTATGAGTTCCGTTGCAGCAGACTTAAATGTATCTGCCCAGCAGCCCTGAATGGAACAACGGAGCTCACAGCTCAGCACTTGAGCTCCTATAAGGGACAGACTGTCTCCTCAGGCAGCTCCCAGACCTCTGTATATCCAGAGACGCTTCATAAAGGACAGCTCAGGCTGACTTCTGGTGGATATCCTTCTGGGACAGAGATAACAGAAGAAGAAACTGGCAGCAACCCTTACTGTTCTGCAGCTGCTGCAGGTGATGCCCAGGCAAGCAGGGTCTGGAGTGACTGTTAGAAGGAAAACTAAGATACAGAAAGAAATAACTTCATCATTAACAGAAAGGACGCCCAGAGACTCTATCTGAAAGCCACCAACTACAAAGACCACAGGTAGATAAATCCACAAAGATGGGAAGAAACCAGCACAAAAAGGATGAAAACAGCCAAAACCAGAGTGCCTCTCCTCCTCCAAGAGATCACAACTCCTCACCAGCAAGGGAACAAGGCTGGATGGAGAATGAGTCTGATGAATTGACAGAAACAGGCTTCAGAAGGTGGGTAATAAGAAACTTCTCTGAGCTAAAAGAACATGTTCTAACCCAATGCAAAGAAACTAAGAACCTTGAAAAAAGGTTTGATGAAATGCTAACTAGAATAAACAGGTTAGAGAGGAATATAAATAAACTGATGGAGCTGAAAACACAACACGAGAACTTCACGAAGCATAAACAAGTTTCAATAGCCGAATCGACCAAGCAGAAGAAAGGATATCAGACGTTAAAGATCAACACAGTGAAATAAACCGAGAAGGCAAGATTAGAGAAAAAAGAGAAAAAGAAATGAACAAAGCCTCCAAGAAATATGGAATTACGTGAAAAGACCTAATCTACATTTGATAGGTGTACCTGCATGTGACGGAGGGAATGAATCCCAGTTGGAAAACACTCTTCAGGATATCATCCAGGAAAACTTTCCCAACTTAGCAAGGCAGGCCAATATTCAAGTCCAGGAAATAAAAAGAACACCACAATGATATTCCTCAAGAAGAGCAACCCTAGGCACATAATCATGAGATTAACCAGTGTTGAAATGAAGGAAAAAATGCTAAGGGCAGCTAGAGAGAAAGGTCAGGTTGCCCACAAAGGGAAGCCCATCAGACTCACAGCAGATCACTCAGCAGAAACCCTACAAGCCAGAAGCGACTGGGGGCCAATATTCAACATCCTTAAAGAAAAGAACTTTCATACCAGAATTTCATATCCAGCCAAACTAAGCTTCATAAGTGAAGGAGAAATAAAATCCTTTATGAACAAGCAATTACTCAGAGATTTCATCACCACCAGGCTTGCTTTAAAGAGCTCCTGAAAGAAGCACTAAACATAGAAACAACCAGTACCAGCCACTCCAAACATGTGCCAAATGGTAAAGAGCATCAACACAATGAAGAAACTGCATAAACTAATGGGCAAAACAACCAGCCCACATCAAAATGGCAGGATCAAATTCACAGATAACAATATGAATCTTAAATGTAAATGGGCTAAATACCCAATCAAAAGACACAGACTGGCAAATTGGATAAAAAGTCAAAACGCATTGGTATGCTGTGTTTAGGAAACCCATCTCACATGCAAGGATACACATAGGCTCAGAATAAAGGGATGGAGGAAGATTTACCAAGCAAATGGATAGCAAAAAAAAACAGGAGTTGCAATCCTAGTCTCTGTTAAAACATACTTTAAACCAACAAAGACCAAAAGAGACAAAGAAGGGCATTACATAATGGTAAAAGGATCAATGCAACAAAATGAGCTAACGATCCTAAATATATATGCACCCAATACAGGAGCACCCAGATATATAAAGCAAGTTTTTTTTTTTTTTTTTT